TTTTTAATTTTTGAAAGCCAATAGGGGAAATCGGGATACCCGGTCCCATTAATGTTTCAAAACCGGCGGCTTTCCCTCCCCTTATAAAGAAAAATTTAGTTTTCCCCAGGGGGGGGGACCAGATAAATTTTTTTTATATTGTCTATAACGGAAAACCACCAGTCAGCCGCCACCTCCCCCCCCCCCGCCAAAAAAACACAACAACAACCCCCAAACACAACAACAACAACAAAACAACCCCCCCCCCTCCTGCAACAACAAAAAACTGACGCAATAGCAGATGTTCTATTTTTACTCACATTCATTGGAAAAGATGTGTTCTATTTTTACTCACATTCATTGGAAAAGATGTGTTCTATTTTTACTCACATTCATTGGAAAAGATGTGTTCTATTTTTACTCACATTCATTGGAAAAGATGTGTTCTATTTTTACTCACATGCATTGGAAAAGATGTGTTCTATTTTTACTCACATTCATTGGAACAGATGTGTTCTATTTTTACTCACATTCATTGGAAAAGATGTGTTCTATTTTTACTCACATTCATTGGAAAAGATGAGGAGCTCTCCTGATCTGGCGTGAGCATAGTTTGACAGATGCTTTGATAGTCTGTCAGCTGATACCTGAGGGTACAAAGGGAAGGTTAGAATTGTGTCACGTCGTGGTGGAATCAGGCGCTCGTCTATTTTTGGACATAATGGTGTTATTGGTATAACCTTAAAGCCTGTTAATTTTCTTTCCTTTTGGTGAAAAAAAGATCCGTCTATGTTGAGTAGATGTGAATCATTTGAGAATAAAGGAGGTCAGGATCACTTGGTTTCAGAAGCAAAATTAACGAGACAATGGCCGATGTTTGGTAACTTCCATAGACTGAGAGTCCTTGGAAAAAGAAAATGTAACTTTTTGTGCCATTAATCAATGTTTTTTCCAGTAAAATGCACACAACAATGGGTTTATAAATGGACATACAAGGTTTTAAGCCAAAAAAAAAAAAAAAACGAAAAGAAGGGGAAAAAATGCCCAACAGCCAAAAAAATGCCGATTTTTTAGATTTCATTATTTTGATGAGCGCCAGATTTCACCACGATGCCTCACAATTATATTTTTAAAATTCTTATGGCACGCTTGATTTAACTACTTTCGTCAAAAACGTCAATGAGAGTGGGGTTTTTTCTTTTTTGATTAAATCAACACAAGGGCTGTTTTTGTTGTTGTTGTACTGGTTTCATAAAGTTTGCTATGAGAGTCATGGGGGGGGGGGGGGGGGGGGGGGGGTGGCATTCTAAATACAAACGGTTTTGTGACACTTTTTAAAAATCATTGTCCCCCCCCTCCCCGCCCCTTTAGAGTTAGGGGTCTCTCCACTTAGGATAAGACTAATATGTCCTTCTGGGGCCTTCAAAACAATTAATAACGAAACCAAAATAGCAAGGGGGCCGAAATTATTAGCCTACTAATTTCTATTGGGTAATGTCCCTTGCACATGAATCCTAATGCCCATTTTATTGTGTGTGTGTGTGTGGGGGGAGGGGAGGTGGGGGGTGTTGGTGTTTTACGGCGCTCGCACCTGCATAAGGTCATATTAGCTCTAAATCATGTTTATAATAGTAATAATAATAATAATAATAATAATAATAATAATAATAATAATATTGAAGTGCCTTAAGGCCATTGCTAAAGGGGGAACACTAACATCTTGAGTTCTTATGCACAGTAGTATTGTAATTGTAAGTGGGCTGATTCATCAATGCCGTGCTCATAACTATGCCTGAACTGCAACAGGGAATTATTTCTTTTTCTTTCTTCATCCTTACTATCGTCATTTTCCCTCTACTTCTTTTTTGTACGTTTGTCGCTCTCTTGTGACCCGCTATTTCCAGGGTGCCTTGATAGTCGAAGCAGACTTTGTACTGTTGAAGCTAGAGAGGTGAGCAGAGTAAGTCTGATTCCCTGTAAGGACTTCTCTGTTGACATCCACCCCTTGAAGTTCATGACCTTATGCAGTTGCGAGCGCTGTAAAACCTCAGCTAAAACGAAAATAATTACTCTCACATCTTAAATATCTTGTCCTCCAGAAGAGCTCTCATAAGGCGGCCATCTTGTTGACCCAAAAATAGTCCCGTCTGAAACAAAAGATATTGAAAACAAACATTTAATTACATGTATAGCATTCCGAAAACTTCTGTTTTAAAATGTCAAATTATATATGTGGGGCAGCGTGGTGGAATCAGGCTCTCGTCAAAATAATCAAAGTGAAGAAACTTCCATTTTTCCGCAGGTTTGTGAATTTTTATCAAATTTTTGTTTTTTGCCTCAACACCTTTCAAGCCCATTAAAGAACTCATTTCTGTGTGGATTTTTCTGAAAAAAGTTGAATAAAGGCTCAAACAATGTAAATTTTCAGTTACCACCGACTCTTAAGCTGAGGAAATAACTAATCTTTGGCGGCCATTTTCTCACTAATTTTACCTCTGAAAACAGATGAACCCCACCTCCTTCTTTCTCAAATATCTCGACATGTTTTCAAGATAAATGGCTATTTTTTTCATTCAAACAAAGACAAGTGAACAAGCTATAAGACGATACCAATAACTCTACATGCCCAAAAATTGACGAGAGCCTGATTCCACCACGCTGCCTCACATATTGTTTTTCTGTTTACCAAAGTTTGAACAACAATACAATGTTATAAATCTGCCTCAATCAGTAATTGGTCAGTATAATGAAAGGTAATTGTAATACACAGAATACGTCGCTTTTAATGCACAAGGAGGCTATCCCGAAAAATGCTGTTTCGAGAAAATTGAAGGTAAAGTTTTTGCCCCTTGTTCAGTTTCTTTCAAAGACAAGGAGAGTTTTTCTCTATAACCAAACAAATATACACACCAATGAAACCAAACTTCTCCTATTGGTAGGACAACGCCCACTTTTAGTGCAGGTCAAGATTTCTGGAAACCCATAAAATCTGGGTTAGCCCGCTTGTCCTTAAAAGCGACCAATTATAATACACAGAATTCAGAAATACGAAACCTTGTTCAACGGCCATCGTGCCAGTTTTAGACATAAGTTCTCTCTCTCTCTCTCTCTCTCTCTCTCTCTCTCTCTCTCTCTCTCTCTCTCTCTCTCTCTCTCTCTCTCTCTCTGTGTCTCTCACCACCTCTCTCTCTGTCTCTGTCTCTGTCTCTCTCTCTCTGTGTCTCTCTCCACCTCCCCCCCCCTCTCTCTCTTTGTGTGTATGACTGCCTGTCTGGAATGATAGGACAAACTTACTCCATTTCCATCTGGGTTGTTGCTGGCTAAAATGTAGCCATTGTTATCGACCAAGTAGCAATGGAAGTTCTGTGGAAGACAGGAAATCAAGCAGTTAAAGGTTCAGCTTAACGTGGGTGGTTGGCTGGTGCTCTGGTGTGGTTTGCTTCTTCTTTTCTATCAAACATCTGTCGTCCTTATCTCCCCTCTTTT